GACATGCTCACATAATAATTTATCTAAATCTTCGCTGACCACCTGAAGCCCTCCATATTTTTATTGTGAAAGGCGAATTTGCTGCTTCGCGACTGCCACGCCTCTTTACGCCTTCATTGTTATCAGGTGGTTATCAGTATAAAACTTGTGGGAGACAAAAAAAACTTAAGAAAATGTTTTCCTCCAATGACGATCCTCTCTCGTTACCAAAATTATGAGCTACGAATAAGTTTTTTTGAGATTATTTAGAATATAGTGGTTAGGATCATTGAAACCAACATTGCTAGAATCTAGTAAAGTCTTCTATGTATTGCATACTAATTGCATAAATTGAATATTGATTTTATGGGGAAATAGTCAACCAGATGATTATATTTGGGATATGAGGTTTGGTTCAAAAATTAGACCTACTCCAAATATACTTAGCTCTGAATCACATAATATTAAGTAAAACTTGTACACTCAATATCTTTCAAAGAGTAACAATATTTGACCAACCTTGAAGGCTTATAGTAAACTGGAAAGTCTGATAATACTATGATCTGGTCTTGTTGCATTGACCTTTGATATTCGTCAGGTATACTACAAGGAGTGCTCCAAAGTAAACAGGACTTGACTAACGCCATCTATATGTCGACTGTTACGTTAGAATTTACAGTTTTTATCGATTGTCCAGTCAAGACATTTCATTGATTGGGAGTGAGGTTATTGCGTTTTAAGCGTCAGTATGTTTGTGTTATCGGTGCGAAAATGAGCTTCGAACAAAGAAATAAACCTAAATTTTATTTTAAAATTAATAAAACTTTTACCAAAACGTTTCAATTGATGAAACAAGTTTATGGCGATGATTGCCTATCCCGTAGCAGAGTGCACGAATGGTTTCAACGTTTTCAAAGCGGTCGAGAGGACATAAATTACGATCAACATCTGTGTGAACCAAAATCCATGATCACCGGAAATTTCACTGAAACTGAGCGTGAATTCATCAAAAATCAGCCGAAATCATCATGGAAATATATGGAAATGGATTTGAACATCTCCAAAACATCAATTTATCGCATTTTGACCGAATATTTGGGCCACGAAAGGTATGTGCATGGTTTGTTCCGCATAAATTGACTGACGACCAAAAATTGGTCAGAATTCAACATTGGAATGACGATTTTATTTGACCAAAAATCACACTGTGATCGATTGAAGTGTTTCCGCAATCTGAGTTCAAAAAATTACTGTTATATAAAAATTATATTTAGCATAATTCAACCTCTGGAAGAAGTCGGCGCAGTAGGAAAATCCACTTGCAAAATTAGATATTGTCTTTAACTTTATATATATACATATATCGACTTAGTTTCGGTCTAGATTTGAATCCATCGCAAGCTACCTAATCTAAACAATTTAGATGTGGGCACTGAGCAGAAACTTTCGTTTAGTAACAAATTCACTAAACTTCCGCTAACTTCATGTGAGCTAACTTGGAGAATATTCCCAACTGAAGTGCATCAGTACTTAAACTTTTACTGTAACGGTCGAAATGTGATTAAAGTCTCAAATAGGCGATAAGTACTATCTGGAGATTATCTCTTGCCGCTACCTGTTGTAAGTTGCATTTTGGCCGCCGTTCATTATTTTATCAACTATTTGGACAACGATGAGATGAAATATCTTCACCATTTGCTACTACAAATTAGTTTTAAGCAGTTTAAAAAATAATTTTAAAGTTCTTAGGGGGAAAATAAAAAATGTGCCGTAGATCCTTTGAAGAGCTTCATTTTTAAAGTTCGCCAAAATTTACTTTTTGGCTGCATATTTTGTGCGCAATATCAAATTACTACATTAAATGCATATCCTTGAGCTAAGCTAGCAACTATTTAATGTACCGTTTGACATTGAGAACATCCGCTGCTGGAGAGCGGCGCAAATGCTGCACGAAATGGCGCATTTTGTCTGTCATAATGCAATAAATTCACGAATTGCAGTCAAAAGCTTTTATAATACTAACAATTCCACATTGCATTACCCACTTAAATAGCGGTGGTGAGAAAATAATTTTTCTTCAGAACACACGCACACACATACATAGTATATGTACGTATGCAAGAGTCTACCTACAAAAATGCAAGCGATGAGCTTCGCTTAGAAGCCAGAACAATGCCACAGTCCATGTTGGCCAAAGAGTAAAAGGCAAAGGAGCGCGGACACACACACAAACACGTAGTAGCATTGAATTCAATTTACAGTTCTGTCACCCGCATGGCGCATAGTGAATGGAGAGAAATGGCAATAAAATCGAATCGACGCATATTCATCCGTTTAAATGAAATTTTATTACAGCTAAAGAGACAACGGCGCTGTCGGTAAAACCGATTTTCGGTTGAAGAAGTCTTTTAAACCACTATTTGAACGTGATTGTGTGTGTGTGAGTACATATGTTGGCTGGTTTGCCGCTGTGTCGGTCTATTGCAGGGGTGCCCAACTTGCATGTGTGTGCAATTGGCTTTGTGATTTTGTTTGTTTTTGTTTGGCGTGGTTTATACGTTGTTGTTTTTGTTTTCTATTTGCTGGCAATCGACAATCGACGAGTGAAATGAAAATCCCTAGGGCATTAGACACATTAAACTAATATACTATTTGAATATACATATATGTGGCATGTGTGTGCAGCGATTTCCATTGTTTTATAGCGGAAGATGAGGCTGAAGCTGAGGCTATATCAGCTGCCGACGTGGCAGCGGATATGGCTGTAGATCTATTGTCGAACGGCTGTCGAAGAAGAAACTTTTCACCAAATTGTGCCATACTTCATTGTGGATGTATTACATCCGTGCGACACACACATACACACACGTACACTTTATCTATCTATTTCGAGCGATAGGTGTATCTCGATCCTTTGCTGATGCCGCTTGGAACAAAGGCCGCAGCGTTGAATGGATTGGACCGCTGAGCTGCATGGCTTACAGCCACACATAGCTGTCGCTCTGAGTGGTTTATCTATGAGTTGTAGTGAGAGCAGAGGCAACACAATGACACAAACTCATTGGCTGGCTGCCGGTTCGTTTGATAGATATTCTTTCACCTCACCCCACACTCATCCTACACACATACATATATACACTTAGCACCGCATCACTGTTCACCATTCACTAAAATCCCCATTGATTTATCGCGCTCATATAATGGCAAAAGAAAGCATGAAAGATAGTAGGAGCACTCTTGGTTTGTTGTAGTTTTTCGGTTGGCTCATATGATACCCTTCATTATCGTGCCGCATACATGTTTGCATATAAATGAATATACATCGCACCGGCATATATATGCATTTGAGTGAATTGGTAAAAAAAAAGTGCCGGCAAAGCAATTGCAATGTATAACGATCCAATCCATCCATCTAAGCTCTCAAACTCGCAACTTCCCACCTATGCGCGGAGCAGATGCTCGTGCGTAGAATACCCGTAGGAAAATAGATGCGCTAGGCATGTGCCTTTCTCGTACAAATGCGTTCAAATTACACCTCTGGTGAACTAGTTTATGGTAGCCTAAAAGGAATCTGTATTTCAGCAAGATGGTGCAAAATTCCAAGTTCTCATAGTGACACTTTCATTTCAATTAATTTTGTGAAATCTCATTAATATGGACACTAAAATGAAAATGTAATATAATTTAAAAAACATGTGTTCCTATTAATTGGTTCAACAAAGTATCAGCTCTCAAATAGGTTCTGTTACTAGATCTGTCAAATAAAGATAGGTTGTAGGAACTTGCGCACGCTGTGGCCTTATTTGTAAGAGGAAATTCCGGGAAAGATTTTAATTAACAACCTGGAATCAACCGAATTATAGCTGAGTGAATGTAGCAGATATGACGCTTAGAACGGTTGTTAGTGTGAATGATTTCGTTGAACTGCTTTACGCTCCGCCGTATGGCTCCCAAATCATATATATTTATTGGTGCTCTTTCCTTTCAAATGTTAGAAGTGAGTCTTTTGGTTTCAAGAAAGCGGTTTCCTCAACTTTCGCCAATATTTGGACGGGTTTTCTCAGTGATACTGTAATTAGAGAAGACTGACTAGAACAATTTTAACTCTTTTAAGAAAGGCATTCCTAATTTATTAAAAAGGTGTTGCTCTGAGCAAATATGGAGGTGTATTTGAACAGTATTGAAGTTGAAGAACAGTAATATTTACCATAAATATCCTTTTTCCGCCGACCAATGATAACGCCATAGTTCACAAATTGCGATTGACTGCGGGAATGTGTTCCTGGTTGCTTGTTTTTATTTATCTTTTACTATAAGAAGAAAAGCAGTCAATATGACATATAGTCTTCCAGTCAGACAATTTGAGCTTTGGTACTTAGGTCTTTGATAATGGACAGAATAGCTTTGATAATTCCCAACTAAACTATAAATATGAATGAGTATACTTTTAAGTATATTAACTTTCCTTTTGAATGTATCTGGTGAACCCTTATCTGTCTGACATCGTTGCTTTTAACGTCGAAGATAGAGTGTCAGATGCTTTCTAGTTTACAAGGTTGACAGCTACTGATATGTCAATCGAAAGCAATTTAACACACCGAAGTCTTCTCTTAGAAGTCCAACTTTCAACTACACTTAGTGCGGTCTTAGTTTAACGATAAGCTACTCCGTCACAGTAAAGAACATCAGTTGAATCGCGACTTTACTTCACTTAAGAATAGCATAACTTAAAATGGTTTGAGTTAATAAAAATTTGAAGACGGAATATCATAAAAATAAAAATTGTATACAGTGAAGTAGAACTAGTGAACTCTCTTAAATAACAAAAACGAATTCCGAAAATGTCTCACTAAAAATAGAGAATTGACCTGACCTAGCTTCCAAATTGAATAAAATACCAGTTGAAGCGGACTTTTTACGAATAGTTTTCCCTGCTGGGCTGGATGAGTTGATTCAAACGCTGCTTTAAATCTTAGTGACTTAAAAATATACAACACATATGGTACAACACTTATACATACCTTGCAGCCGTATCCGCGCTTCGCTTTTGCCCAACGCATTGACGCTGGAACAAGTGTAGGCGCCAAAGTCGGCCTTTGTCAGATGACGTATTGTCAGGTTGAGATGCCACGTGTACAAGTTAATCATGGCCTCCGATATGTTGTACTTGTTGCTACTATGCAGTTTTAAGTTACCTATCCGAATGGTAGCATCATCAACATTGATAGCAGCGGCGAAAAGATAAAACGATAAATTGAGAAAAAATGGGGGAGAGAAAATAGAAGAAGAACAAGACATTGAGTTGCATGAGAAATGACAGGCAATTACATCAATTACATTGACTTTACTACAGTACTACAAGTTGTTACGTTTTTATTGCAGAGAAGTCAGGACGCCATGGGTGTCGGACGAGCCGAGGCGAGACGTCCCTGCCACAGTGCATTCAGTTTAAGTGCAATATACATTACCTTCGTTGCGATACCAGCCATTGAGCGGTTTCGGATACACTTCTACAATGCATTCAAGTGTGACTTCACGTTCAACGGGGGCGCCCAATAGCTGATTGACAGCCTTAATTGACGGTTGAACTGTGAAAAGTTAAAGGTTAGTTGATACAATTAGTAAGAGTTATATGTTGAAATATAATATTTTCTATGGTATTAATTGTATAAAATGAATGAAGTGGAACTTATTGCTTATAAATATTTGTAACTATATATTATTGTAATTGTTGAAACAATTATTGTAGTGGAATGAAGTGTTTTTGGGTTATAGATAACACTTGACGCACTGACAAGAAAAATTAATTTCGGTTGAATCGAAGCTATAATACCCTTCAAGAACTTGACTTTGGTCGCTCAGTTTCAATGACAGCTACCATCTGCGATTCGGACAATAAGCAGTTTATTGGGGAGAAAAAAACTTGTGCAAAACTCTATATCGATATCTCAAAACCTAAGGAACTGGTTTTATTTATCCAACGGTTTTTTCTGAGTGTTCCAAGCTTCGTGGCAATCTTAATAAACTCTGTTCAGGGTATAAGACTTGTGTAAAAGAGGTGAAAGATGTCGTAGGAATCTTCTAATAATTATATCTAGGAATACTGGCTTTCAACAATTTCTGGGCCGCTTTCAAAAGTTCTTTACATGCATTCCAAAAGTGTCATCCAATGTTCTTCAGACCATGCTATGTGAAACCTGAAATTGAATATGATAGGATTGTTTCAACTGGATATCGCACTAACAATTTGGGTTTCAGCAGTTCATCTAAACCAGTTCGGAAATTAAAGCTGAAGGATGTTTGTTTGTTGATGAAGCTGCGAAGTCTACTCGGATTAAACCATGACTGGAAAGCCACGTCAACGACTTCGAATCCCTAGATTGGTTCGGCATTTGATGGAGACTGTGAATTCGTTACAACTTTGTAACTATTAAACATACTTTAAATAACTAGTTGGGTCTATCACTGGATATCTCCGTAACCTAAGCCTTCCTATACATCCCATACGTTAGTCGTTCGAATACGGTTAAAAAATTGTGCATCATATGTCATTACCACCACAAGTAGAAGATCTGGAAAAGGTTCTGTAAGCTAGATAACTCTGAAACTTATTCAATTGAGCACCAGCGATCTCGACGGTAAAGCAGAAAAGAGTTCATACTTCTATCTAAGTTGTATAAAACTGATATTTAGGCCTATGTTAAAATGCAATTTCAGTGAGCTAATTCCCCCGTATATATTATATATACACGACAAACCCAATCAAAATCGAAAGATTTACACTGAAAATGAAGTGTGGTCGAGGTTACAAGTTTATGCTCCCGCGGTTGTTTCAAATGTCGAACATTTGAAAAGTTTAGAATCACTGTTTAAGTATGACAGACCAGTCATAACCGGAATGTGGCGGGTCGACCCGTCATAAATTTTCCAAAAAGTGTGTTTTTACATTTAGTAAAGTAAATTAAATAGATCCAATATTCCAACAGTCCGAATGAATATATATGTAACCTCTTTATAATGAGACACTCAATAAATATGCTAAAATATTGACACTTTTATAACTTGTACGTGACCTTAATTTAGGCATGCCTAACTTAAGAGCATGTTTGTTATGACCATCACTCTTGAAGTCAGCTATTTTGTTACCTCATTCGTCATTCGATTATCGTAGCGCAAACAGGCGACATAAACATACTTCAGAGAACACAATGATTAAATGTCGCTTGTCGTATTGTCAATACGGTCACTCTAGCATACCGTTACAAATGGTGTAACAGTGACCGCAGGGATGATTTTTACTCGCTGAACGAATATGTCATGAGTTTAACACCAGTTCAGCTGACACTGAATACATTTAACGAAACAAATATAATCGTTTATTGGTATACGAGTATAGACACTTTTCTATTTTTATCTACTCGGTAAGAATAAATGGTGTTTTGTTATTATTTGCAATCTAAATAGCTTTCCATTTCCTCCCATCACCACCACTAAGTGTGTCTAACGATTTTACTGAAAAGAGTATTTGCCCTTTTTATTGTTGTTTACCCATTTTTATTGAGTATTTGCTATTTTAACATCTGTCTCTGGCAAGGACACGTCTGACTTAACCTATCTGTCGCTGCAGCTGCTCTTTAGCCAGTTTACGGCTGCCAGCTTCCCTCTACTCGTATAGGATAATTCTATGCTATAAATAAGGCGGATTAAAGCGCTTAGCCTCGCTGCCAGTCTTTTACAAAATCAACTTCAGGGATATATACATACGTTGGGTATATGTATATGCTGGATATATACATATTTTTGTATATTCTGTGTCCAGTGCAACGTTCGGTATTCGTTACAGTTTCACTTTTACTCTGGCAACTTTGTTGTATATTTTTAATGTACCCCGATTAATTTGGTCGACTCAAACGGGTTGGCCGTACGAATTGTCTGTATTATGTTTACATCCTGTTTGGATTTTGTTCATTTAAGAGTTGACATGTGTGGGAGTTTATGTGCATATGTACTTTTAAATATATTTAGATGGATTCAGAAACTGCAGACATTGACTTCAAAAGTGAAACCGTAAATAATGATTTGGATGAATGGGATATAATTATATAGAAACATATACTCTTCAACTCTTAATAGTGAACATGTATTCTTTAATCAATTGCAATAACTTTCGAGTTTATATTGAGATTTAAGAATATTAAAATTGATATATATTATCTGATGAAGTTTGACATGGACAAAAAAGTTATAAACAAATTTATTATAGCCTTCAAAATACACTTGCTTATAAGTCTAGGCTGGAATGACCTTAGTGCCTTAAGCCAACTTTTGTTTTTATGGTTTCGGTTAATTTTTCGAGCGTCCTTCGCTGAATTTTTGGGTAGTTTCAATGCTATATTCAAACGCCCACATTTCGTCACCAAGGTTTGATTAATGAATTTGGCGGTAGTGTTGCCACATGAGAATATTTTTAGGCACCAAATTGCTTACCAAATCTGATTGAAAACTACAAAATTTTCTTATCACCAAAATATTGGATTTTATTGTACTTCACATATGGAAAAAATATGCAATTCTAATCTTCAGATTGTTAATCTTGATTCTATTACACTTCATAAAAAGCTAAGGACCAAGAACTAAAGACTTATTCCTACCAATCAAAGTACTGAAAGCAAATAAAACTACCAATTTTGGTCCGATTGGATTAGGGCTCTCAGTTACGTTATCCAAAATCTCTAGTACGAGTTGAAATTTCAGCAATTCAATTTATCTTGTTATTATTTATTTTATTTTTTTTAAGAATATAGTGGTAAGCTTTGCGTAGCCACGAGTGTAACTACCCAGTTAGTAATTGGAAAGTAATTGGACTGATTTTCTTCCGCCAAGACTGTACTTCGGAGCGTGCGCGCCATATATAAATTGATACGAAACTCTTTGATTCGAGAGAGAGCTGTCAAAACTCTCATTTTTTATAACATTCGCCGAAGTTGTCACTGCTGAAAAATATTAGATTGGACATTTTATATATAACTTTTGGGTATTTTACAATTTCCACACTATCACGGAGGTATGCAAATGTGCTCGGTTATCTCGTAGCCCTATATCAATATTATACATAATTTTACGAACCACCGACAGAATTTGAACAACGCTCTCATTTTGGCAGTTCGTTTTAGCGCTATTTTTCTGGCATCCCGTCTTTTTGTCTAACTGCTGATTGACGGGACCCTGAATGTGTTTTGTTGTTAGCTCCGAAAAAAGATCAGGGTCCACTCCCAGCTGAAAAGCGAGATACTAAGAAAAGAGGCTCTGATGAATGATGAATTGAGACTGGATTCGGTAGAGTGCGTTCCTAGCTAACGAACGAGCGGCTGGTCAGTTGTCTCCGAGCACCTGGAGAGTCGGGACAAACATTTTCGCGCAACGTGTTTTTGTGAGTGAAACGAAGAGTCAATTGGGACTGACAATACATCGCAGCCGATTGGAAGTTGCATCACGACAACGCCCCGGCTCACATCGCCAGCTACCTAACCAAAAGCCTCAACGGCGCAACGCTTCCGCAGCCGCCCTGCAGCCCAGATGTGGCCCCGGACTATTTTTTGCTTCCTTGCCTAAAGAAGGCCAATGAAAGACAAGCATTTTGACACGACAGAGGGGATCCAAGCAGAATGCATCTTGGCTCTCAAAGCTATTCCGAATAATGCCTTCTGTGACGCCTTCAATGTTTGGAAATCGCGCTAGTTTTTAACGATTGGTTCAATAATTTTTTTTTAAATCAGTCCTATTACTTTCCGGACAAATTCTATAGCTTAGACGAGTTTAAAGGCTCAATACCCAATTGCTTCATTTAATTTAAAAAAATACTATTTATCTTACTGTCTGATGAATTGATTATAAATTGTTACGAAAATCTCATCCAATAATATCACAAGCAACTTTTTGTCATTGAGGAAATAAGACAATTTGGTCAAGAAATTTTTGAGAAGATATTGCTAAGAAAACTAGGAGACGCACCCAAACGAGGTGCAGATATAAGCTCTATATAAAATGATGTGTGACTGTCTTAGAGAAATTTGATAGTTGTGCCTAAGCATAGATAATCCGGTGTTGTGGCCTTGCTTGGAACGAAGAGCGATACCAATTTTCTAAAAACATCAACAAAATGCAGCGTCTTTGCTAGCTAGGACATGCCCTTCGAAAACATATAGTATTCATTTTTGTAGCTGTAGCTTCTAAAATATTCTCTAAATAATTTTAATAAATGCAACAAAATGGAAAAAGAGCGGGTCTCTTCCAGTATTGGCATTGTGTTAGCAACAGTTTGTGAAAGGGGAACAGAGATTCCTCTCTTAGAATAGGAAATGTTAATTACAAAATAGTTGCTCTAAAATTTCATTTTTAATACTTCTTCCCTTTGTTTATACCTTTAACTAATTTAACAAATATTTATTACTTTCCTGTCAGCAACAGGACTCCTGCCATATATCATTATGTATAAAGTATTATCATTTCAGCAGATTTCTGTTTACTCTCAATGTAAATAAGACATATTGTGATATCTAGATGCGTATCTGTTTTTGCTTTAACAATA